TCTCCAGGCTGAACGACTCTCCCAGCCTGGCCTCCCAGCAGAGGGGTCCCAACCCTTGGATCATCTCTGGGATGCTGGCTCACCTCCTAAGAAGCGGAGGGAGGACATGATGGAGCCAATCCAGCTGAGCTGCTCGGCCGAGCCCCCCACCTCCTCTTGGAAAGCCACGAAGAAAATCCCAAAGGTCTTGAGCATCCCCATGACCAGTACGTTGACCTGAATTGGAAGCAGATTGAGGTGGGAGGAGAAGCTTTTCCTTCTGCTTTCCTTGCGTGGAGAATTTGTTGTGTTGGGGGCCAAGCAAAGTGGGACTCAGTAGTTGGTGGTGTGTGAGTTGGGAGTCTCAGCAGGGTGGGCTTGGGGTGACCACGCTGCAGCTTCATCTTAGACCCTCAAAAACCCTTCTGTGCAAGCTGGTTTTCCTCCAGAGAAGGAACAGAATAACACCACAGCCAGACTCTTGCAGGGTTTTTTTTTTGGGCTCTGAGTTATCTTATAATACTAAAAAAAATAATCTAACTGGGTCTTGGTGCTGGTGGAGGTCACGTGGAGCTGGTGAGGTGTGGAGCAGAGAGGGATGGCTGTGAGCTGCTGTGGTTTCCCAGGCTTGCCCTGCCACGGGGACAAAGGACAATCCATGCCCTTAATTTTGAGTCCCTTGCCCCTCCCTGGCAGGGGGTGGTTAACGATTGGCAGCGAGCTGCTCTGGATGGAGTGGGAGTGGGGAAAAGCTTCCTGGGCCTGGTGGGGACTGCCATTCTGATGGGAGGGTGGGGCGTGGGGCTGAAGCTCCTGCCCTGGAGAACTGGAGCCCTGGAGAGGTGTGGAGATGCCCTGTGCTCCTGGGAGAGAGCTGGGGAGGGGTGTGTGCTGCCTGCACCCCGTGCTGCTCCTGCAGCTGGTCCCTGGGGACCCACCTCAGCTCCGGTCCTCTGCTCCCCAAGATGGGATCTCGCCCTTACTGGAGGTAGGAGACCCCCCTTTGGGGCTGGGCACCCCAGTGGTGGGGGGTATGGGTGGGGGAAGGTCACCTCATCGTTGCCAGCTGCCTTGTGGCCCTGGGCTGCAGGCTGAGCAGCCTGGTTCACATCACCCAGATGTTCTTGGGTGGCCTTTCATGGGGTGGGGTGGGGGTTGGGGGGTGTCTGCTCAGCCTCTGGGGAAGGGGAGATGCCTCTTGCTCCAGCAGAGCCCCCGGGAGTCTGGGCCCCAGCTCGGTGGGATCAGCCCCATCCTCTGCTCTGGGGGAGGCTGGAGAGCTGCTCCCTGCCCCAGCCCCAGGAGGGTCGGGTGGGATCTGTCCTCTGCTTACCAGGAAGAAGTGGAACACCACTCCCCATGCCCACCCTCCGTCCGTGGCTGCAGCTTTGGGCTCTTCCTCCTGCCTTTCCCCTGGGAAGGAGAATTTCAGGACACGTTAACCCCTCGTCCTGCTGCCCTTTCAGTTCACAGCTCCGGGGAGGCATCAGCCACCCCTGAACCCTTCAGCTCCTTGGCACCAGCAGTTTGCATCCAGCTTGCAGAAGCTTTTCCCAACCTTTCTGCCAGGGGCTGGGAAGTTGTGGCACTGCTGCCTGCAGCCACTTTAATATCCTCCCTCTCTCCCACCAGATGAGTTTCCACTTCAGCTGGAAGGGGTTTTAAGTGAGGAGCCACCTCGCTGCTGCTTTAGAGTGGATCGTTTGGTGGCTTTGTGCCACAAGCTGGGGGGTCACCGTGTATCTGGGGAGCTCTCCCTCCCCCATCCCTCTCTGTTACCTCCTTGCCCTCCTCCTGCCCCTCCCATGCCCCCAGCACTGGCAGGGTCCTGCCCGAGGCAGCAGCCGGGGTGGGTGAGCCTGAAACTTCTCCTTACCTTGCTGCTGCATGCTGGAAAATCCTCCAGGCAGTGCAGGGGAATCGCCTCTTCATTTGCTCCAGGGAGTAAATCCCCTCTGACCCACCTGGCAGCCTGCAGCCTGAGCCTTCATTCGCCTCTGGTGAGGATGAGGATGTCCGTGTCCCTCCGTCCTGCGGAGCCCTGGAGCAGGACACGGAGCCTTCCTCCTCCTCAGGGCCCCAGGGCCAGGAGTCCCTCCCCTTCCTCACCCAGGAGCAGGAAACCCGGGGCTCTGGGAGCAGAAATCCTGCCGGGGTGGAGGAGGGAGGGCAGCCTGGCAGGGGGATAGCTCCTGGGGCAGAGATGGGCTGAAGCCAAGCCTGGAGCAGAGCCCCGTCCTGCCCCCGGCCCAGAAAAAGGCTTCACTGGGGAGGGGATGGGCTGGGAAGTTTTGGGTTTTCCAGGGAAGATGCTGGGGTGGAGCAGTTTTGGCCTTGGCTCTGTGCCTCTGTTGTAAACATGACCAAACTCCTGGGAAACGGAGCCCTGGGGCTCCACTGACCCCTCACCCCACTGGGTGTTCCTGAGGGCAGCTAAAGCTGCAGGATGGTGGTGCCAAAACCCCCCCTCAGCAGTGCTGGAGGAGCCCAGCAGAGCTCAGGGCCTGGGGAGGACCCTTCCCCACGTGTATCAGGCTTTGACTGAAGTGGGGTGGGGTCTGCAGGGAGTTGGGTTAAGGGCTTGAAGGACAGGGGGGCTTGGTGGGCAGGGGGTGGAGCTGCTGGATGTCCAGGAGGAAAAGCTCAGGCTCCAGCTGCTCCCAGCTCCAGGGGCTGTCAGGAGGAGGGGTGAAGAGGGACCCCCCCCAGCCCAGAGCTGGGGCACAC